ATCTATTCACCAGGCACTTTCACTCGAAATGGAAGTAAGCTCAACAATTGTCTATCTTTGGCTAAGTAGTCTTGGTCTGAAAGTTTATTCCTCAGTAAAGAGATATTATTCTTAATTGGGCCAAAAGGATAATTATTTTCCTGGAATATATCTTTCAGCCGTTCTAACTCTCTAGTCGAATGGCTGCTATCTGCTAGCCTCATACTCCTAATAATCATTGATTTCGAAATGCAAAACCTTATTTTGTATCTAGATTAAGAAAATAGTCAACATACGTTCGCTTCCTATGGGCCTATCTTCCTAACCTACAGTGTTCACTAATAATCAGAATATCCAAAAAGGTTAAGGACCTATTCTCTTCCATTTCCATTGTGAATTTTATGTTCATTTCACGATGGCTAAGTGAAAGTGGAAAACTATATAATCTTTTTTCGCCATGAGCCGAGATGACAAAACAGCCATCCATATATCTGTCCATCAATTTGGGGGTTAGCATGGCGTCTTCCAGAAAGTGTTCCGCAAGTTTTCACCCAAAACGAACGTCGTATCAAAGCCAAGTGGCTCTAGTACAACGGGAATCAGCCGTCCACTTTTGGTGAGATCGACCTTGGAATCTCCTCTTCATGCGAAATATAAGTTCCTTCAACATATTTAACTAATGAGCTTCATCGAAATCCAGTTATGTTCGTATATATCATATCTGCAAGCATTTGAATCACAGCCTATGTGTTCTCCTGGTGAGGCTTCCGAAATAGGGCATGGAGACACTCTACACTGGTACTTGAACGGAGGGAAGTTAGCCAGCTAGAAAGATAAGAAATTGATCTCCAGACATATGAAGGAGATCCAGATTAAAGGTCCTAGTCGGATCAGCTAATCGAGGCATAAGGTGAGTAAAGAAAACAGTAGGTGTGATGACGCCACACTAAATTCGCCACTATGCTCGCCACACTAAACTCTGCAGGAGTAGAATATAGGCAACACAGTAGGTGTGATCGGGCGGGAGTGAGCTAATAGGGTAGGGAGTAGATAGATAGTCAAGGACAGAAAGAATAGTGATATCACAACCGTTTCGGCAGAAAGTTAGTCAAGCGATTGAATTCACTTGTCACTTTGGCAAGTTGTAGCTAGATGCTGAGAATGACAAGAGTCACTGACGATGTCTGGGAATGTACCAAGTCTACAGTCTGACTCTAGGAATTATAACTACTAGAGCACAGAACTTCGGACAAGATACGGCCAACTAAGTCGCCTTGACAACAAGACCAAGTTGCGAAACCGAGGTCAACTCACTTCTATAAATCGAAAGAAGACTGCGACGATACCGAGGACCACACCATCTTGGTCTTCATGTCTTTGATAAAGAGTTAATTTTTAATTTTTCCAAAGTGATATGAGTAGGCCCAATTTGTCAAATTTATTTCAAATAAAGTTGCGTCCAACAAGATATTCTCTTCCAGAGAGAAATGAATTTTTCTTAGAAAAAAAATAAATGCCAGAATAAGATCATAATAAACTGAATAACTATGGTATGGGACATTATTCAAAGAGTAATATTAAAAGAAACTAAGTCGCATAGAAAGTCGTATAGAAAATACAACAATACGAGATCGACAATCCGACGATATAAAGTGAGCTTTCATATCCTATTTGATCAGCTTCTTGCCGAAAACGCGATACTTGATTTCGGAAAGAGAATGAATAATGTGTTTTATGTGCAAATCCTTTGCATTAAGTCTTCGGTGCAATTGTTTTCCCTCACAAAAGCGCAGCGATACTTGATACTGAGTGCCACCATAATAAATCCCACGATAGAATGTAAGATGTTAAAAAGCCTGGCTTTTCCTAAAAGCCACATCTGTGTGCAATAAAAGGGAATCTGTGACAGTAAATGCAGTCGTTAAAAGCTCGAGATTATATGCTGCATTATCAGGATCCTAGGGCTGCTAGAAGCTCTAATCAAACAGAGCCGAAGTCGAAACTACAGTCAAACCTGAATGAGCAGACATTTCGGGAACCAAATTGCAAAGATTTACATGTTTAGACCCGTACGAGGGGGTTGTCAAAACGACTGCATAACCTCGGAGATCGGCTGTCGTTTTCTGGTGAGATCGACTCACCAACCTCTTCATAATGAACTTTCATATAAACTGGGTGTCTCGACAATACTCATTTTTCTAAACACATGATCGCATGACTCCTTTTTCTCCTCCTACATTTTCTGGCCTAGTCTGTCCTGATGCCTACCAATCGTACACGAGTTCACCAGGTCAGCCAAGATCAACTCCGGAGCGACACCTTCTACCGGTGCCCTCTTCCAGCGATGGACGCCAGCTGCTTCCCTCAGGCCTGCCGACACTCGGGTATGCAGGTCTTCCGATACCCCCAGATGCCCTCAAGGAAGCCTCGAATATCGAACAGTCCACATACAGTCATACTCCCACCATCACTGTTTTGCAACCATCATCTTCCGTTGAGCAGGACAACTATGCCTCGGCCATCCATCAGATGCGCGACCAGCCTCTACCGGTGCCTTACTCTGCGGAAGAGGCCTCGTCAGCATTGACCACTTTCACAGCCCTTCAATACGCCTACAGCCTGCAGGCATGTCTTCCTCAGCCCTGGACACATGCTCGACCGGATGTGGGTCCAGAAGAGCATGTGCCAAAGAACAAGCAATGGCAGACGGAGAAGCCAGACGAGGCGAGGCAGAAGTTGGCGACGAGCAGGCAACGGCGTCGGCGAGACGAGACTGAGGCCACTAAACTAGAGGCTGGGCCAGCGATGAAATGGAATAGAATGAGAAACGATCCGACTGCAGGAGGCCAGGAAACCGTCGCCAGAGTAAATAACAAAAAGACGCATCCCCTATTTTCTGGAACAGCTGAGTCTGGGCTTTCAGGATCACATCTGTCCACGTCAGACGTCGAAAGAGCTCAGCAATTTGCAGCCAGTCAAACTCAAATTGGAAAATAAAATCC